GTTGTCCCCTCTTGCGAGGATTTCGGCCTCGTCAAACTTGAAAATATGGCCAAAATATGGCAAAAGAACTTCCTGCAAGCCCTGAGCTTGACATGGCCAACGGTTACATGATTGTCTGCGTCTTTCTGCGCTTTCTCCCCTTCCCATTCTCCCCCCTCTTCGGATTCAACAAACCCTCGTTATCTCGTGACCAGCCAATTATTATCAACCCCAACCCTACGCCCCCCCTATTCCCATGACTAATTTACTTGTAATGATGATCGCAATTGGCCGTATGTTAACTTTTACCCCCTCCCTATATGAATGTAGTGGCTCGAGAAGAATTAATCGAAAGCTACGTTTGCTCGCCAATCTTTTGACTTCTCTGATGGGAATTTCGGCAACTTTAAAATCCAATTCAGTTATTTTTCAGTGCATTATGTACGATCCTTAATTCCACCTAAGCCTTAAAAGTGACATCGATAGCTCGACTGAGTAAATTGTCCTTATATTATACTTGAAACCGTAGATACGGGCAGAATGAATTAGTTCTCGATCGACGTCAGAACTGTATACTTTGAAAGAGTTCTGTTGCTCTGAACATTTTGGCATAAATAGTAATGATACAATTCACATTTCTTTAGACTTTGACTTCATTCTGACCTAACACTAGATATGAATGCACAGAGCTCCCGAAGTCACAGCCTCTTCATTGTTCAAATCAGCCAGCGCAACGTGGATACGGGACAGGCCCTTGATGGGCGTCTGAACTTAGTGGATTTGGCAGGCAGCGAAAAGGTTTCAAAAACCGGCGCCGAAGGCAATACACTGGATGAAGCTAAAATGATCAACAAGTCCCTCTCAACGCTGGGCAACGTCATTAATGCCCTTGTTGAGGGGAGCGTAAGTCTTTTTTTATGCCCGGCACCCTACAGTAGATTCCCTATATCATTAAATGTCACCTGGAATTCTCAAAATGCGTTTTCTATTCAAACATCTTAATTAAGTATGTTTTTAAAAATGACGATCGTACAGCCTAATCTCAATATATTTTGGTTACATAAGGATACTGGCTTTATAACGAGCTTCTTTCTGACCGCAAATTAAAACACGTACTATACAACGTAGCTACTTAAGTAGGGTGCATTTTTGCCATTGAAATTGACTGCCTTTTTTGGAAAACATGCACAAAAAAAATTATTTCTTGTACTCGTTTGGTAGCAAATTATGGCTTCTTTAAATTTTATCCTTAAAGAAGGGGCATCTTTGATTTAAAAAATTTCTAATTATGAGCATTTTACAATTTTCAGGTGTTCATTCATAGAACATCGTATCCGTCAATTTGCTAATGCTGCCTTTACCGTATAAAGCATGCTCCATATATTTTGCAAAATTTAATGAGAACTATGTGAGATCGTCCTCAAAATGTAGGCGAAAACGTACTCTTCCTTAAACAGGATGTACACAGTGCGCAGTTTTTAAACCGTGAATTCCAGTGTAGCAGTCAGTAGGTTTCAAAATTATTCGGCAATTTAGAAACTTTTAAAACCGAAAGATACCCCTTCTTTGAATATAAAATTTAAAGAAGGCGTAATTTACTACCAAACGAGTACAGGAAAATTTTTTTCGTGCGCTTTGTCCAAAATGTATTTGAATTTATATAGGCAGTCAAAATCAATGACAAAAAGGCATACTTTATATTTAAATAGCCGTTTTTTTAGTACATGCTTTTTCTTGGCGGTCAAAGAGAAACTCTTTAAAAAGCCGGCATCCTGAAGCGTCTAAAATATTTTGAGATTAAGCTATGTGATCGTCTCTTTTACAACCATCCGCAATTAATCTATTCCAATCAAAGAATTATTTCAGAATTCCGGGTGACATTTCATAAGATAGGGAATCTACTGTATGTTTATTCCGGATATAATATAAAATACATAGATTTCTATCAACATAGGTGAAGATACGAGGTCCAGATAAATTATCCCGATCATCATCCCCC